GATGTATTAGCCTCTATATGGTTTAGTTGGTTATGGCTGCACGCAAACAAACAGAACTCCACAGCCATCCTCCTTATCCCTCCTCCCCTGCCCCCTCCACTACATTTCTGGACAAAATTTCAACCCCCAGTCAAATTTGACACCTATGGACTGAAATGGACTAGATTTGTAAATGGAATGTGTTTCTTGTCCCCTGTCCCAACATACACAGAGTTCACTGTTTCCACACATCCATTTTCAAGACATAAAAGTTCCATTTGAAGAATTCCCTCTCCTGCTTCAACCTCGAGCTGTGATCTCATTGTATCCTACAACCAAAGTGGAGTCAGGCTGGGTCCATTCTCTGCGACAGAATGGGAAGTGACTAAAAAACTGTGAAGTCTGTTTTGTTCCGGTGTTGAAATATTGTCTTCGAGGCTGTGCTAGTTTGGACTTGCCATGGGGCAGTCTGTTGGGGAAAGGCATTTAACGCCTCACTGAAAAACCATCACCCAGAGCCATCAAGACTGCAAACTGGGACCCTCAAGTTTCAATGATTCTGAACTCATGGCCCATCTCCAGGGAACAGCGGTGTGAACACAGGAAGGGAGAGGGGAGAAGCATTACCCTTTCGGCTGGGAGTGTGAGCACATGGCACGGAGGCAAGACCCTATTTTATAGTAGGATCCTGCTGTGTGCAGGGGGCCAACCATTGCCATACATAAGAAGGGCTTGTGGGAACAAGAGGGCAGGGGGGACTCTGCCCAGCCTGAAACACTGACAAACCATAGACCCACAGAAGAGGAGCTCAGACTAGGGGAAAGTATGTCTGTGTGAATCTACCCAGCCCCACTTGGATTGGAAGCACATAGTACCCAGCAATTTGGGTCCACTCGCAACACACTGGTGACCATACAGATTTCTGTGCCAGTTCGTTGCACATACATGTAAGCATCACCTTCTGTATACTGGCTCTTATTTAAAAAAAAAAGAAAAAAAATAATGATTGTTCAAACTAGGTAGTAAGCTCAGTTTTCTGTTCACAGATGATCAACCCATTGACTATAGTTTTCACTAACCTTGCTATTAATTCATCAGTAATGAGTGAGCTCTGACAGATGATAAATTTAGTCAACTATAAACATTTTCCTACATACTACATCTAAAAGTGCTTTCATTACGCTAAAATAGTGGTTCTTTCAGTTGGATTCTAACCTGAGTATATTTTATATTCACTTGTTTCTTGTATTCAACATCTTTTTCACTTCTGCATTTTATTGCTGAAAGGATTGCTCAGCAGTTGGGCTGAATATTTCCCTCTCTGTGTCATTTTTCTGAATAACCTCTCTCATGACATGATTTGTGCTATTTATTTTTTCCATTTATATTGTGTTATTCTGTTACTCTGCTTAAACATACACCATAGGTGATGCTAATGAAAGACTTTTTTAAGTGAATTATCGAACCTTGTAAAGGAGCTTAAAGCTTGTTTCTAACATACAATAGCTTGAGACAATGTGGCATACCTTCTAGTTTAATTCAGACATCAGAATTAGTGGAATTTCTACACAAACTCACATAATACTTTAAATTGTATTGCATTGCAGTAATATGTATAATATTATAAATAGGACCCTACCAAATTCACGGCCATGAAAAATGCATCATGGACCGTGAAATCTGGTCTTCTGTGTGCTTTTACCCTATACTATATAGATTTCACAGGGGAGACCAGCGTTGCTCAAATTGGGGGTCCTTACCCAAAAGGGAGTTGCGGGGGGGTTGCAGTATTGCCACCCTTACTTCTGAGCTGCTTTCAGTTCTAGTCGGCTGGAAAGCGGCAACTGTTAGCCAGGCACCTAGCTCTAAAGGTAGCGCCTCACCAGCAGCAGTGCAGAAGTAAAGGTGGCAATACCATACCAAGCCACCCTTACTCCTGCGCTGCTGCTGGTAGCGACTCTGCCTTCAGAGCTGGGCTCCCTGCCAGCAGCCAGTGCTCTCCAGCTACCCAGCTCTGAAGGCAGCATCACTGCCAGCAGCAGTGCAGAAGTAAGGATAGCAGTACTGCAACCCCTCCCCATAATAACCATGTGACCCCCCCAACTCATTTATGGGTCAGAACCCCTAAAATTACAACTCCATGAAATTTCAGATTTAAATAGCTGAAATCATGAAATTTAGCATTTTTAAAATTCTATAACCGTGAAATTGATCAGAATGGACCATGAATTTGGTTGGACCCTAATTATAAATCATTGCCCTCTGGCCAGCCAAGGTTCAGGGTTCCCCAAAGTTCTGAATGACTCTTATTTTGCTAAGGATGCATAATGCATCTCTTATATATAATGTCTGAGGAATCCTGATTGAAAGAAAGGTTACTCCTGTGGAGCGCTATACTGTCTTACTAACCTGATGTTTCATGCTTTAACTCCTCTTCCAGTCTTCAGCCCCAAATCAGAAATATGCAGAGAATATAAACTGTGACAAATCTGAATTATTTAGAATAATCTTCATCCAGGTTATTGAAAACAATTATTAAAATTCCTAAATATGTATTTAAGTGCCTATCTTTAGACGTTTAAGTTTGAAAGTCTGGCCTACAAATATTAATTTTGGATAGTGTTTGGTAACATTTGAAGTATCACATCATTAAAGTGTTCATTTGGTATTTTATAGATGTAAAAACATAGCTGTATTGACATATATTTATGCTTGCTCATATAGTATAGGGCCAAATTCAAAGCTCACTGAAGTCAATGGGACTAGAAGGAGTGGTATTAACCTCTATATTTAAACCTAAAATGCAATTTCCATTATAAACTCCCTTTTTATGTGGCTAATCATTTTGACACGCACATTTCTTTGGGAGGATGTTTTCCCCTCTTAGCCTTAGCTTAGAAGCATTTTTTTTTAACTTAAAGTTGATCTTGTGTCCCCTTTTTATAAAAAAAAAAGTTGTTCTTGTTTTCTGCTTGTTTACATTACAAATTCAGGTCTGGTCTATCCTAAAATATTCCCAGATGAGAAAGAACTATTGAAGCAACAATATCGCAACCGTCCAGAGAGTGAAAGTTGAACAAAGGAGAGGAAAAGGGATTTTAAGTCAGACTATAAATTTTTTTTTTGCTTTTTGTTAACACCTTCTTAATGTAAAGTCTAATGAATGCTTTGGACAACAAGGTTTTTTTTAATGATTCAAGACCATCCCCATTCAATCAATTATTATTTGTTGTATTATCATAGTGCCTAAGGAGCCCTAATTATGGATCAGGATGCCACTATCCTAGGCACCATATAAACAGCACAAAAAGAGCTTGCAATCTAATTAGCAGACAAGAGAGAACAAATTGACACAGGCAGATGGGGAAGTACAGGGAAATAATGAGACAATACTGGTCAGCATGATAGACAGTGGACTCTGCATACCAGTAACCTAACTGTTGTCTAGTTTTTGTAGGCATCCCTGCAAAGGAGAGTTTTGAGGAGGGATCTGAAGGTGGATCATGAGATATTTACAGGATTATCTCCTAGGCCTCTGGGGCACCATAGGAGAAAGCACAAAGGTGCTTGCTTGAAAATTTAATGAATGGGCAATGCTGGCCGGCATCATGGACAACTGGAGATGAGCACCAACAGTTTGGTAGTGAATGAAAGATAGGAGGAATGGGGATTGTCTATGAAGGGCCTGGAAAGTGAGTGCTGAAAATACACTTGTTATGAAATATGCCATTGCTTCTCCAGGAAAGCCAGGACTTGCCACTCCTGATACTTCTATTTAAAAAAAAAAAAAAAAAAGACAGGCCCATTAAAAAAAATCATTTTCAGGCCTCCTTTCAGCAAAATCTTATTAGTTGTTTGATTACTACATCTGTAAAATCCCCTGTTTTTTCATACTTGGCTTAAACTGTGGGATTTTCAAAGGGGCCTACATGCAAGACATAATATTGACTTTAAAATGAGACTTGTGCTCCTTATTGACTCATTTCCTTTAGAAAATCCACTCTCACTCTTCATTATTCTACTGACCCTGCAAGATGCAGATTTAGCTGCACACTCAGCCAGTGAAGGATGGTGAAAGGACTGTGATTTGGGGAAACTGAAAGCAAAATGAAGACATCTGTTTACCCACAATGACTTTCATCATAATGTCATGATTATCATATTTCCTGGTTGTATTCAGTAGACCATGCTTGAAAACAAAGGAGACGTTTTTGATTAACAGTGGAATGTTGAAGCAACTGGGCTAATATCAACCTATGCATAGCCAGACATGCAAGCAGCTGTGCCTGAGGCTGTTAACACCTTCTGCAAGAGGGCATGCTTAACAATTCAGAACTGCTCTGTGCACATGCTTTCGAACCCTCACTTTCAAACGGAGGAGGTAACCCGATGTGGAGCAGTAGAGTAAATAACAATGTGTTTGTAGCAGAAGTCAATTTTTTGTAATGCTGTTGGGGGCAGGGATGAAGGGTGTTATGAAAAACAACCTTCATTAATTATCCAATTATCTTTTGTATAGTGAGGAAGTTTACAAAGAGTTAATTATTGGTTTTTTTTAGTCTGGATGGTTTTACAATGGCTTTATGTTTGTATGGGTGAGTGAAGAGTGAACTGACCTGTTATTGCTATGATAGAACAGCATGGTTGATGTGCAAAATACCAGAGCCTTTGTTTACAAGAATTAAACTTTGTTGCACACGAACAAGCTTGTCAGCTTTGAATAATAAAAAGATATAACATATATACAAGATGAGGAACAATATAAATATTTTCTTTTAAAGTGTACCGAGTGTTTCTCAGTGAGATACAATGAACCTGCCTAGGAATGTTTTTCATGCTCTGAATAGAAAGGCAGCCTGAAATGTGACTTACAGTAGATAAAAGCAGCATGCTAATTATGTGCTGTGATCTGGTGTTGACAGGCTGATAGATACAATGTAATGGAAATGCTTTTTGACATAATTGTGTAATTTCTTGTAATAAAACTCTGTGACTTTAGAAATTTGACATTTCATTTTCAGTGCAAAAACGAAAACAAACAAAATCTCCACTTGTGCACCATTTTGGGTCTGGGCATCTATTGCTGCTGAACCAGCCACTTCCTCCCGAAACAGGAACAGCCGCCCACGTAGTCGAAGGGATGGAGGTGAGATTCCATGTTATGGGGATTACGTGGGAACACAGCTCCATGTCTCAGTCCAGCTCCTCATCCCCCTGTTCTTTTTGGTTCATCTAGTCATTGTTTTCCTGCTTCTTCCTCACAACTAGACTGCCAGGCACTTTCTGGATATCTAGTAGTTCAGCAGGCTGAGTGGAGAATGCTGAAGTGGAGGTTCTGAGAATTCATTCCAACTCACAGTAAACTGGGCGAGTTTCCTCCCTAAGCCAGACCAACTGTTGTTGTCCCAGACCTTGTAGGGGATGTTCTATCACGCTTATCTTCTCATAGTACCCCCACCCCTGGTGGTGCTCATCTCTGCCAGCCACTCTGATACCCACTGATATGTTAACATATTGAATACAACTGAATTTAAGATCTTCAATTATCTAAAAATCAAAAAAGAGTCCTCCAAAAAGTGGAAACTAGGTCAAATTACAAAGGACGAATATAAACTAATAACACAAAGTATGTAGGGACAAAATTAGAAAGGCCAAGGCACAAAACAAGATCAAACTAGCTAGAGACATAGAGGGTAACAAGAAAACATTCTACAAATACATTAGAAGCAAGAGGAAGACCAAGGACAGGGTAGGCTGTTACTCAATTGGTGGAGGGGGGGAATAATAACAGAAACATGGAAATGGCAGAAGTGCTTAATGACTTCTTTGTTTTGGTTTTTACCAAGAAGGTCGGCAGTGACTGGACGCCTAACATAGTGAATGTCAGTGAAAATGCGGTAAGATCAGAGGCTGAAATAGGAAAAGAACAAGTTAAAAATTACTTAGACAAGTTAGATGTCTTCAAGTCACTAGGGCCTGATGAAATGCATCCTAGAATACTTGAGGAGCTGACTGAGGTGATATCTGAACCATTAGCAATTATCTTGGAAAAGTCATGGAAGACGGGAGAGATTCCAGGTGACTGGAAAAGGGCAAATATAATGCCCATCTATAAAAAGGGAAAAAAGGACAACCCAGGAAATCACAGACCAGTCAGCTTAACTTCTGTACCCGGAAAGATAATGGAGCAAATAATTAAGCAATCAATTTGCAAACATCTAGAAGATAATAAGGTGATACGTAACAGTCAGCATAGATTTGTCAAGAACAAATCATGTCAAATCAACCAGATAGCTTTCTTTGACAAGTAACAAGCCTTGTGGATAGGGGGAAGTGGTAGTTGTGATACATCTTGACTTAAGTAAAACTTTTGATACTGTCTCACATGACCTTCTCAAACAAACTAGAGAAATGAACCTAGATGGAACTACTATATGCTGGCTGCATAACTGGGTGGAAAAACATTCCCAGAGAGTAGTTATCAGTGGTTCACAGTCCTGCTGGAAGGGCATAATGAGTGGGGTCCCACAGGGATCAGTTCCGGGTCCAGTTCTGTTCAGTATCTTCATCCATGATTTAGATAATGGCATAGAGAGAACACTTATAAAGTTTGCAGATGATACCACGTTGGGAAGGGTTGCAAGTGCTTTGGAGGATAGGATTATAATTCAAAATGATCTGGACAAACTGGAGAAATGGTCCGAAGTAAATAGGATGAAATTCAATAAGGACAAATGCAGAGTACTCCATTTAGGAAGGAACAATCGGTTGCACACATACAAAATGGGAAATGACTGCCTAGGAAGGAGTACTGCAGAAAGGAATCTGGGGCTCATAGTGGACCACAAGCTAAATATGAGTCAACATCAGTGTGACACTGTTCCAAAAAAAGCAAACATCCTTCTGGGATGTATTAGCAGGAGTGTTGTAAGTAAGACACGAGAAGTAATTCTTCCGCTCTACTCCGCACTAATTAGGCCTCAACTGGAGTATTGTGTCCAGTTCTGGGCGCCACATTTCAGGAAAGATGTGGACAAATTGGAGAAAGTCCAGAGAAGAGCAACAAAAATGATTAAAGGTCTAGAAAACATGACCTATGAGGGAAGATTGAAAAAATTGGGTTTGTTTAGTCTGGAGAAGAGAAGATTGAGATGGGACATGATAACAGTTTTCAAGTACATGAAAGGTTCTTATAAGGAGGAGGGAGAAAAATTCTTCTCCTTAATCTCTGAGGATAGGACATGAAGCAATGGGCTTAAATTGCAGCAAGGGAGGTTTAGGTTGGACATTAGGAAAAACTTTCTGTCAGGGTGATTAAGCACTGGAACAAATTGCCAAGGGAGGTTGCAGAATCACCATCACTGGAGATTTTTAATAGCGGCTTAGACAAACACCTGTCAGGGATGGTTTAGATAATACAGTCCTGCCATGAGTGCAGGGGACTGGACTAGATGACCTCTCGAGGTCTCTTCCAGTCCTATTGTAGTGCTGCAGTATAGGGCTTGTCTATACTTGAAACACTACAGCGGCACAGAGGGGGAGGAGGCGGGGCTGGGGATTTGGGAAAGGGGTTGGGAAGGGGTGGAGTTGGGGTGGAGCCGGGGGGGGGGCGGGGCACAGCCAAAAATGTTTTTGCTTGGGGCGGCAAAAATCCTAGAACTGGCACTGGCAGAGGCACAGCTGATGAAGACGCTCTATGCCGATAGGAGAGAGCTCTCCCATTGGTTTAATTAATCCATCTCCCTGAGAGCTGGTAACTAGGTCAGTAGTGCTGTCCACACCGGCGCTTATATTGGTGAAACTTTTATGTTGCTCAGGAGGATGGTTTCTTCACACCCTTGAGTGACATAAGTTACGTTGACCTACACTGTAGTGTGTACATACCTAACTATGCTGACACCCTGGGGAGAACCCCTCTTGTAGGTAATTCACCTACCTGTGAGGCGGTAGCTAGCTTCATGGAATTTTCTAGTGTAGACCAGCCCACAAACACTGTCTTATTAAATGCTTTGTTGCAGATCATTGAGCTAACATTCCCACAGGTCTCTTGTTAAGCACTCTTATTAGTTTTGAAGAGCAGATATTTAGCAGCCAGTTAAAGAAGAGTCAGAAGAGACTGCCACTTTGCATCAGTTCTTCTTTTGTATTTTTCTGATCATCACTTGGTTTATGAGTATGAATGGCTACATCTTTCTTCATTCCTCGCCAGTCTCTTTCAGCCTATATCTTTGCATTGCTTGCATGAGCAATGCCTTCTGGCTTTCCATATGACCCATTCTGAGTAGGATAGTTCTTTATCATGCAGCAGTAATTCTTACCTTCATACTTTTTGCAACTTTTATCTTTTGCTTTTGCATTTGTAGTTATCAAGCAGATATGCCCTCTGAAAAAACACATTGAACACGTTCAGAGGTGACGCATAACTGATAGTTGGGGGCATGTATTTTGAACCCTCTTCCCGCAAAAAAAAAACAACAAAAAACCAACAACCTGGCAGAAATCTGACAGGACATGTGACCCCCCACGCCCTCCTGTGTCCCAGGTTTGAGTTTAAGTTCTGATTAACTCTTACTTTCCTTGTAAAAGAGATTATTAGTTTGTCTGAGCACACTTCATAATAGTTTACATTTGAATAGGTCCTTTGTGACAAGGTTTATGAGATTGGAAGGCAATGGTAGTGCAGATGCCAAACCTGATTACTAACCTTTCTGTGAATGATTAAGTGGAACCTGGGGCTCGCAGTATTGCAATTTCAAGCAGTAGTCCCTGATTGAACTGAGAAACGCTTTCCTCCGAATGATATGCTTAAAATAAGCTCTGTCTTAACCAGATCTGCATTTAAGGTGGCCTTTTCTTTTGGAATGGGAAAGAGATTTGTGGTGTTGCATAAGTTAGAAAGCCATTCACAATTGTTATTAACAACCTCCTAGTGGAAGGGGTATTAGGAATTGCATCACTTGCTTTGAAAATACAACTATTTAAAAACACTTCTAGAAAATATTGTCCTTTCATAGTGTATTTGAATTAACACACAGGATAAAATTGCAAAACTAACCTTTGTTATTTATCTTAACATTTTCATTACATAGTTGAAAGAAGAAAAGGAGTACTTGTGGCACCTTATAGACTAACAAATTTATTTGAGCATAAGCTTTTGTGAGCTACAGCTCACTTCATCGGATGCATAGTTGATATATGGACAGCAGTGGCAAAAAAGGCATAAAGCCAAAAATATCTAGAAAAGCAAATAGCTGCCAGTCTGAGACTTTTCATAAAAGACATAATATTAAGAACAACAACTCCTTTTAATTTCCTTGTAGTTATCCAGGGGGCTTTAGTACAGGATTCTGTCTTTTCATTGGGATGCTTCTAAACTTTCTGTGACTTTGTGAACTTATGTTTTTGAAGGGAGAATGATATTTTTAACTCGTTAAAAAATTGCAGTCTCTTCAAAACAGTTTTCAAAACATTTCTTTCCTCTTCAAATGTTTGTTTCCCTGAGCTGTCATCTTTCACACAGATAGTCCCTTGAAATAAATATTTGCAAAACCGATCATTGCAGCTGCCTATAGTTAAGATCATGTCAGAAATAGAAGAGATTCAGAGACAGGTGACAAAAATGAGTAGACATAAGAAAATTTCCAAAAGAAAAAACATTGAAAAGACTGACTGTTAGTTTACAGATGAGACAGATAAGAGGGGACGTTATAGTGGCATACAAATAATGAATGGTCTGAAGAAGGTAGATCAGGCACTTCTGTTTTCCCTCTCTCATAATACAAGAGCAAGGGAACATTCAATCAAACTGAACGGCAGCAAATTTAAAACTGATAAAGGAAATATTTTTTATGCTATGCATGATTAAATTGTGGCAGTGAGTTCCACAGTCTACCAATGAGGACCAGAGTTTAGTAGGATTCAAAAAAGGATCCATCATTTATATGGATAATGAGAACATCCACAGTTACAATAACTGAAAAGCTTGTAAGGAATAAAAATCTTCCTGTTTTGGGGTAAAAGCTATCCTCTACCTGACAGGACTAGGAAAGAATTTCTCCTATCAAAAGGTTATTCCATGGATGTTCACTTTAGGATTTCTTGCATCTTCCTTTAAATTTTTTTGAAAATTAGAGCAAAATCTATATG